AGTTTTCTAACAAACATTAAACATTGAAATCAATGTGAGCTATGTAAAGCTATGTAAAGTTCACATTGATTTCAATGTTTAATGTTTGTTAGAAGTGTTTTGGGTCCTTATTTAGAAGTTCGGTGATGTTTCTGGGCCCAGAAATATATCATAGGAATGTCACTCTTATTTATATCAGTTAGCCTATGGTAAAAGTGGTTTTATTATACGTATTTCACTCAAGCTCAATTCCAAGACCTATTGACCACATTAAGTAAGGACTTACTATATACTAAGCATGAAGGGAGCCAGGTTACTATCAGAGATGGGAGTTACAGATGCAATTGACCCTTGAATGACATGGTGTGAACTGCATGGGTGTTCTTGTTAGCAGATATTTTTCAAGAAATATAAAACAATTTGGAAATTAATGGCAATTTGTAAAAACCTGCAGATGAAGCAAATAACAGAAATAGCAAACAAAAATATTTATATAATTACTAGTCTATTTTATCATTGCTACCATGAAATGTACAAAATCAATTATAAAAAGTGAAAATTTATCAAAATGTATGCATATAAAGAACATGATGCCAGCTTCAGCTAAGAGAAATGTAAACAAGCATAAAAATGCAGCATTAAATTATAACTGCACAAAGTTAACTTTAGCATGTATTGTACTACTGTAGTAAGTTTATGACCACCTGGTACTACTGCAGTGAGCTCAAGTGTTGGGAGTATCAGCTCAAAACACCATGTGATGATAATCATCTCCACAGGAGCAATTCATTTACCTAGGAAAATGTGTCGTACAGTAAAAGGTAATTTCTCATGGTTCTTGTCTGTTTTCCATTATTCTTTTTGTAATGCCACGAACCTCAAAACATGTGAAGTGCCACTATTGATGCCACAAGTGCTCCGATGATGTAAAGTCATGACTTTTTTACATGAAAAAGTTGAACATTTCTCCAAAGAAAAAGTTTTGAAAATATTAACAAGTTATAACCTATTAAATAGAATGAACCATGAATCTATACTGATACAAGTAAATTAATAACTTGAAGGTTTGATGAGAAAGAGATATTCATATAGTCTCAAATGAACTCTCTACAAAATAGTAATTCGTTAAAAAGTGAAAAAATAACATGACAGAGAAGATATTCAGCAGATACCACCATTAATAATAAAATCTAACATCACCAGTAACAGGCCAAATCAAAAATTGTGGTCAAATAATAGGATGCAATAAGATCACAGGAGCATTTCTGTGATAGCCATGTTCAAAAAGTATGATATAAAACTAATTACAAGGAAACATTACAAAAACCCAATTGAAGAACATTCTGCATTACTAAACTTTATCTTCTAAAGATTCAAGGTCATAAATATCAAGGAAAGACTGAGAAACTGCTTTCATTGAAAGTCTAAGAGATATAAAAAATAAATATAATCAATGGATCTGAATGGAATCTTTTGCAACAAGGAATATTATAGACAAGTAATAAAACAAAAAATCTAAGAATTAAATCTTAGAATATATTAATGTTAACTTTCTGTGAAGATTATATTGTAGTCACATAGAATGTCCTGACTTGTAGGAATACCCACTAAGAAATCAGAAATCATGGTAGAGTGTCAGCAATTTACTCTCAAATGGTTCAGATAATGTTCTTTGTAATAATGCTTGAAACTTTAATTTTAAGACTGTTTTCAAAAGCTAATCAAAAAACAAATAAGTAAGTAACATAAAAGGTGAAAAGTCTTAGGAAAACCTTAATTTTTCATGAGGAAAGATCCATATAAATCAGCACTTAAAATTACATAAATTTGATGATATGGTGTCAATTGTATTACATGCAACCATTGCCAATGACCACAGTACTAATATAACAAAATGTGTCTGTTGGCTGTATGAATGTCTTCTTTTGAGAAATGTCTGTTCATATACTTTGCCCACTTTTTGATGGGGTTGTTTGTTTTTTTCTTGTAAATTTGTTTCAGTTCTGTGTAGGTTCTGGATATTAGCCCTTTGTCAGATGAGTAGATTGCAAAAATGTTCTCACATTCTGTAGGTTGCCTGTTCACTCTGATGGTAGTTTCTTTTGCTGTGCAGACGCTCTTTAGTTTGATGAGATCCCATTTGTCAATTTTGGCTTTTGTTGTTGTTGCTTTTGGTGTTTTAGACATGAAGTCTTTGCCCATGCCTATGTCCTGAATGGTATTACCTAGGTTTTCCTCTAGGGTTTTTATGGTATTAGGTCTAACATTTAAGTCTCTAATCCATCTTGAATTAATTTTCATATAAGGAGTAAGGAAAGGATCCAGTTTCAGCTTTCTACTTAGGGCTAGCCAATTTTCCCAGCACCATTTATTAAATAAGGAATCCTTTCCCCATTTCTTGCTTCTCTCAGGTTTGTCAAAGATCAGATGGCTGTAGATGTATGGTATTATTTCTGAGGACTTGGTTCTGTTCCATTAGTCTATATCTCTGTTTCGGTACCAGTACCATGCTGTTTTGGTTACTGTAGCCTTGTAGTAGAGTTTGAAGTCAGGTAGCGTGATGCCTCCAGCTTTGTTCTTTTGACTTAGGATTATCTTGGAGATGCGGGGTCTTTTTTGGTTCCATATGAACTTTAAAGCAGTTTTTTCCAATTCTGTGAAGAAACTCATTGGTAGCTTGATGGGGATGGCATTGAATCTATAAATAACCTTGGGCAGTATGGCCATTTTCACGATATTGATTCTTCCTATCCATGAGCATGGTATGTTCTTCCATTTGTTTGTGTCCTCTTTTATTTCACTGAGCAGTGGTTTGTAGTTCTCCTTGAAGAGGTCCTTTACATCCCTTGTAAGTTGGATTCCTAGGTATTTTATTCTCTTTGAAGCAATTGTGAATGGAAGTTCATTCATGATTTGGCTCTCTGTCTGTCTGTTACTGGTATATAAGAATGCTTGTGATTTTTGCACATTAATTTTGTATCCTGAGACTTTGCTGAAGTTGCTTATAAGCTTAAGGAGATTTGGGGCTGAGACAATGGGGTTTTCTAAATATACAATCATGTCATCTTCAAACAGGGACAATTTGACTTCTTCTTTTCCTAACTGAATACCCTTGATTTCTTTCTCTTGCCTGATTGCCCTAGCCAGAACTTCTAACACTATGTTGAATAGGAGTGGTGAGAGAGGGCATCCCTGTCTTGTGCCAGTTTTCAAAGGGAATTTTTCTAGTTTTTGCCCATTCAGTATGATATTGGCGGTGGGTTTGTCATAAATAGCTCTTATTATTTTGAGGTACGTTCCATCAATATCAAATTTATTGAGCGTTTTTAGCATGAAGGGCTGTTGAATTTTGTCAAAAGCCTTTTCTGCATCTATTGAGATAATCATGTGGTTCTTGTCTTTGGTTCTGTTTATATGCTGGATTATGTTTATTGATTTGCGAATGTTGAACCAGCCTTGCATCCCAGGGATGAAGCCCCGTTGATCATGGTGGATAAGCTTTTTGATGTGCTGCTGAATCCGGACACATGAAAAAATGCTTATCATCACTGGCCATCAGAGAAATGCAAATCAAAACCACAATGAGATACCATCTCACACCAGTTAGAATGGCGATCATTAAAAAGTCAGGAAACAACAGGTGCTGGAGAGGATGTGGAGAAATAGGAACACTTTTACACTGTTGGTGGGGTTGTAAACTAGTTCAACCATTATGGAAAACAGTAGGGCGATTCCTCAAGGATCTAGAACTAGATGTACCATATGACCCAGCCATCCCATTACTGGGTATATACCCAAAGGATTATAATTCATGCTGCTATAAAGACACATGCACACGTATGTTTATTGCAGCACTATTCACAACAGCAAAGACTTGGAATCAACCCAAATGTCCATCAGTGACAGACTGGATTAAGAAAATGTGGCATATACACACCATGGAATACTATGGAGCCATAAAAAAGGATGAGTTTGTGTCCTTTGTAGGGACATGGATGCAGCTGGAAACCATCATTCTTAGCAAACTATCACAAGAACAGAAAACCAAACACCGCATGTTCTCACACATAGGTGGGAACTGAACAATGAGATCACTTGGACTCGGGAAGGGGAACATCACACACTGGGGCCTATCATGGGGAGGGGGGACGGGGGAGCGATTGCATTGGGAGTTATACCTGATGTAAATGACGAGTTGATGGGTGCTGACGAGTTGATGGGTGCAGCACAGCAACATGGCACAAGTATACATATGTAACAAACCTGCACGTTATGCACATGTACCCTAGAACTTAAAGTATAATAATAAAAAAATAAAATAAATAAAAAAAACAAAAAAAACCTAAATGATGTCGGTTGAAATCTAAATCTATCATTGTAATTGTAATAAAAATTACAGGATACAAAGCACTAATAAAATGTTGGTAGTTTTACTTGTTTAAACAGCTGTCTATTGAAACATTTGAGTATGTAAAACTCAATACAGGTTTTTATTTGTAAGATCCACTAAAAAGTTTGTTAAAGAAGCCTAGAAACATGGTTTAAAATGCCACATAATTTTTTTTTTTTTTTTTTTTTTTTTTTTTTGAGACGGAGTCTCACTCTGTCACCCAGGCTGGAGTGCAGCGGTGCAATGTCAGCTCACTGCAAGCTCCATCTCCCGGGTTCATGCCGTTCTCCTGACTCAGCCGCCTGAGTAGCTGGGACTACAGGCACCTGCCACCACGCCCGGCTGATTTTTTGTATTTTTAGTAGAGATAGGGTTTTACCGTGGTCTCGATCTCCTGACCTTGTGATCCGCCTGCCTCGGCTTCCCAAAGTGTTGGGATTACAGGTGTGAGCCACCACGCCCAGCCTTAAATTTTCACCAAACGTGTATGATATAAAAATATTATCCTTTTTAAGAAAAATTTTTATATGTTTTATGTTAAATAAAAAACCATTAAAAGTTCAAGTAAGCATTCCAGTAATAAAATATTACAATTTTTTATATTATATAATTTTAAAATAAAAGTTAGTACCTTTTTTTCTGATGCTTTACTGACTTCATCTTTTAGATTTAAATCAGTAGATCCTAGAGGAGCCAGTTGCAGAAAATATTGATTGTAGTTCAGCACCACCTGGAAAGAAAAATATTTATGTTCTTCACCTAAAAGTTTTATGGTAAACTAAGTGGAAGTCAGAAAAGAGTTGAGAACCTGCTCTGTGTTACTGAGAATAAAAACATGTATATGTAACTATTATACAAAATTGTTGTTAAATATAACTCACCCATAGTTGTGCATTGAAATAATTATCATTATGACTATGTATCAGAGCTTCTGGCTTTCTCATTCTTTATTCATTTATTCAACAACCATGTGACAAACACTGGAATTACAGGATGAAGATGAGATAATCCACTTCTTGGCAATGTTACACTGTTATATAACCTGAAAAAACAAACAGGTAATTTTCACACAGAGTAATAAATACCATGACAGATTTAAAATAGGGCACTACTGGAACACACAGATGGGACATCCAAGTTTTGGGTCAATATTGTAGACTTTTTGGTGGAGAAGATATGCAGGTTGATACCAGAAGGACAACAAAAACATATGTCAGACAGAAGGCAGGAGCAAATGCCAAGAGCTGGAGCTGGGAAAGATCACTGTGAAATTCTATGTAGTTTCATTGGCTGGATGCTAGAGGTGGAGTACTAGTAAGTGGTGAGAAAAATCTGAGTAACTTGACAACAACCAAATTGACTTGGGCATTTTTTATTGTATTCCAAGAAATGTAGAACATTTACTGAAGACGAAGGTCAACCAATGACAAAGTCAAAGACTGAAGATTTAAAATATCACCAGTCACATGACTGCTTATGAACTATAACTGCTTGGCTATGCATTACAAGACGAGTCTTAGGTCTGTTGACCTTAAATCACAACCATAACCCTGAGAAGAGAATGATGCCTTTGTTTTCTCAAAACAACTGCAGTGTGTAGGCTAAAAGTTCCACAGGGATGGCAGAGAGTTAGAGCCAAAAACAGATATGTCGACTATTTGAGAGTTTTCTAAAGATATGGAAAATGACAAATTAATGAGGCATAAATATACTCTTTTTTTAATTATACTTTAAGTTCTAGGGTACAAGTGCACAATGTGCAGGTTTGTTACATATGTATACATGTGCTATGTTGGTGTGCTGCACCCATTAACTCGTCATTTACATCAGGTATATCTCCTAATGCTATCCCTCCCCGCTCCCCTCTCCCCACAATAGGACATGGTGTGTGAAGGAAGTTCCCCTTCCTGTGTCCAAGTGATCTCATTGTTCAATTCCCATCTATGAGTGAGGACATGTGGTATTTGGTTTTCTGTTCTTGTGATAGTTTGCTGAGAATCATAAATATACTCTTAATTATAAGCATGTGTTTATATCTTTCATTAAATGTATATACAAAAGTAATTAGCATACTATCTATTGAACAAACAATAGCCAACTGATGTACTTATCAATTAAGCAAACTGTAAATAGCCATTTCCTATTTATAGTTTATTTTAGAAACCAATTAATAAATCTGAATTGAACTAATAAATCTTGCAATGTACCTTCTCCTGCTCTAGTGGTATTTTCTGCCACTCCTGCTACATTTTAAATGAGTCAAATATTATTTAAAATGTTTAATTTTAAGAAGAGAAATTATCCTGACAATGATGTATCACTTACAGAATTGTGCCCTTTAATATTTTCAGAGACTATACTGAACATGAGAATTGCTTAAACAGAAAAATACAATCCTATAAATAACCTAGAATTCTTACTTATTTTAGGTTTAGATAATAGAGACTATATATGTGTACTGCTGTTTAATCTGAGAAAAAAATTACAAATAATTTTGTTCTATCAGTTTTTCTCTTACTACTACAAAGATTAGAGAATTTAAGTCATATTTTGCAGTGAATGTATTTCCTTCTAATTCTTAGCCAAACTCTGTCTTTTATAAAAGTTCAGTTTTTTCACTTCAATAGATTTTTCCTTAAATTAACGTCCCATTCTCCCCCTTCAGAAAATTTACATTTTAATGTGTGTTATATGTTATCAACTTTTCAGCACAGAACCTTAAATACACAAGCGAAGAAAGTGGTACTAGCATAATGTCATGAGAAAACTGGACAGGCAAGAGAATAAGTAAGAATATCATGTGATCTATATTATGATTTATATTTCTTTATATGAACACATAGATTTCAGAAAATTTGTTTGAAAAAAGAATATAGGTTAGAACCAGTTTTCAAAGTTAGTTTGATTTATAACTTTCTAGAATTAGAAAGAAGGAAAGTATTAAATAGCTGCATATTTATAACTTTGATGCCTTTTCAGAAATTAGTATCAGTTTTAAGAATCATTTAATTATAGTTTTCTACTTAATAAGGAAATGTGTGGGAGTATTTCAAGCTCCATTGCAAGTGTTTCCATCTGGAGTGTTCTTCTTTACATCTTTTGTATAAGAGGTATTCTCTTGCCGTATGCCAACAAGGTCTGAAATTGTGTACTGTATACACTGGACACTTTAATACCAATGATAATATGATACTTAAAGCCTTCACCATTTTCAGACAAACATGTTTTCCCATATTTTGAGAGACTGTATTTCATAACATATCTGTGACTATAATGTTATAGACATGCCTGGTAAATTTAATGATGTGACAATACGCATCACTAGAGAGGTCTTGTAAAGGAAATACCTCAACACCAGATAAAGGAAGGAGGCTGTACTGGAAGAATATTACATCACCATTAGTAAACAGTATGAAAATGTACATTTTCACATGACTTCAACTAAAAAACTACTAAGGCAATGCTATTATCTTTTCCCCAAAAAGTTCTTGTTCTAAATATTTAATTCCTATGTGTAATAGATTACATTACTTCTTTATATCCTGTTTATATTTTTATAATACATAAATTTGATTCCGTAAAAATCAACATGTTTCTCAACAGATTGTCTAATTTTGTACTGAAGAAATATGAACTCTGTAGGGAATACTTTATTTTAACAAACTTAAGTGAGGCCATTTTTTACCCTCCTAACTCTCAAAAAAAAATGGTAGAAGGGGCTGCCTCTCTTACAGTGTGCTGAAGTGGCCTCTCCCTAAATAAAGTATCTTCCAGCCTTTTACTGACCTTTGAACCCTCTACCCCACAGAGAACTGCCAAGGGCAACTTCCTTTGACAAAGAGATACCAGGTCAGACCTGAATGCTCAGAGAGAAAGGGGACAAATCCAAAACATGGGGAGCAAGCTTCTCTACAAGGGCATCCAGAAGCTTAGGGAAAGGGTCTCAGATATTCATGGCTCCACCTCTATTGTTATTATTATTATTGGCTGTTGAAAGAGTTGGGTGGTTTTACGCATATTTTCAAGTATAAACTGTTCAATGTTACATTAGTTTATTATTATTATTATTATTATACTTTGAGTTCTAGGGTACATGTGCATAATGTGCAGGTTTGTTACATATGTATACTTGTGCCATGTTGGTGTGCTGCACCCATCAACTCGTCAGCACCCATCAACTCGTCATTTACATCAGGTATAACTCCCAATGTAATCCCTCCGCCTCCCCACTCCCCATGATAGGCCCCGGTGGGTGATGTTCCCCTTCCCAAGTCCAAGTGATCTCATTGTTCAGTTCCCACCTATGAGTGAGAACATGCGGTGTTTGGTTTTCTGTTCTTGTGATAGTTTGCTGAGAATGATGGTTTCCAGTTGCACCCATGTCCCTACAAAGGACACAAACTCATCCTGTTTTATGGCTCCATAGTATTCCATGGTGTATATATGCCACATTTTCTTAATCCAGTCTGTCACTGATGGACATTTGGGTTGATTCCAAGTCTTTGCTGTTGTGAATAGTGCCGCAATAAACATACGTGTGCATGTGTCTTTATAGCAGCCTAATTTATAAACCTTTGGGTATATACCTAGTAATGGGATGGCTGGGTCATATGGTACTTCTAGTTCTAGATCCTTGAGGAATCGCCATACTGTTTTCCATAATGGTTGAACTAGTTTACAATCCCATCAACAGCGTAAAAGTGTTCCTATTTCTCCACATCCTCTCCAGCACCTGTTGTTTCCTGACTTTTTAATGATTGCCATTCTAACCGGCATGAGATGGTATCTCATTGTGGTTTTGATTTGCATTTCTCTGATGGCCAGTGATGATGAGCATTTTTTCATGTGTCTGTTGGCTGTATGAATGTCTTCTTTGGAGAACTGTCTGTTCATATCCTTTGCCCACTTTTTGATGGGGTTGTTTGTTTTTTTCTTGTAAATTTGTTTGAGTTCTTTGTAGGTTCTGGATATTAGCCCTTTGTCAGGTGAGTAGATTGCAAAAATTTCTCCCATTCTGTAGGTTGCCTGTTCACTCTGATGGTAGTTTCTTTTGCTGTGCAGAAGCTCTTTAGTTTAATGAGATCCCATTTGTCAATTTTGGCTTTTGTTGTTGTTGCTTTCGGTGTTTTAGACATGAAGTCCTTGCCCATGCCTATGTCCTGAATGATATTACCTAGGTTTTCTTCTAGGGTTTTTATGGTATTAGGTCTAACATTTAAGTCTCTAATCCATCTTGAATTAATTTTCATATAAGGAGTAAGGAAAGGATCCAGTTTCAGCTTTCTACTTATGGCTAGCCAATTTTCCCAGCACCATTTATTAAATAGGGAATCCTTTCCCCATTTCTTGTTTTTCTCAGGTTTATCAAAGATCAGATGGCTGTAGATGTGTGGTATTATTACTGAGGACTCTGTTCTGTTCCATTGGTCTATATCTCTGTTTTGGTACCAGTACCATGCTGTTTTGGTTACTGTAGCCTTGTAGTAGAGTTTGAAGTCAGGTAGCATGATACCTCCAGCTTTGTTCTTTTGACTTAGGATTATCTTGGCAATGCGGGGTCTTTTTTGGTTCCATATGAACTTTAAAGCAGTTTTTCCAATTCTGTGAAGAAACTCATTGGTAGCTTGATGGGGATGGCATTGAATCTATAAATAACCTTGGGCAGTATGGCCATTTTCACGATATTGATTCTTCCTATCCATGAGCATGGTATGTTCTTCCATTTGTTTGTGTCCTCTTTTATTTCACTGAGCAGTAGTTTGTAGTTCTCCTTGAAGAGGTCCTTTACATCCCTTGTAAGTTGGATTCCTAGGTATTTTATTCTCTTTGAAGCAATTGTGAATGGAAGTTCATTCATGATTTGGCTCTCTGTTTGACTGTTACTGGTATATAAGAATGCTTGTGATTTTTGCACATTAATTTTGTATCCTGAGACTTTGCTGAAGTTGCTTATCAGTTTAAGGAGATTTGGGGCTGAGACAATGGAGTTTTCTAAATATACAATCATGTCATCTTCAAACAGGGACAATTTGACTTCTTCTTTTCCTAACTGAATACCCTTGATTTCTTTCTCTTGCCTGATTGCCCTAGCCAGAACTTCCAACACTATGTTAAATAGGAGTGGTGAGAGAGGGCATCCCTGTCTTGTGCCAGTTTTCAAAGGGAATTTTTCCAGTTTTTGCCCATTCAGTATGATATTGGCGGTGGGTTTGTCATAAATAGCTCTTATTATTTTGAGATACGTTCCATCAATACCGAACTTATTGAGTGTTTTTAGCATGAAGGGCTGTTGAATTTTGTGAAAGGCCTTTTCTGCATCTATGGAGACAATCATGTGGTTTTTGTCTTTGGTTCTGTTTATATGCTGGATTATGTTTATTGATTTGTGTATGTTGAACCAGCCTTACATCGCAGGGATGAAGCCCACTTGATCATGGTGGATAAGCTTTTTGATGTGCTGCTGGATCCAGTTTGCCAGTATTTTATTGAGGATTTTTGCATCGATGTTCATCAGGGTTATTGGTCTAAAATTCTCTTTTTTTGTTGTGTCTCTGCCAGGCTTTGGTATCAGGATGATGTTGGCCTCATAAAATGAGTTAGGGAGGATTCCCTCTTTTTCTATTGATTGGAATAGTTTCAGAAGGAATGGTACCAACTCCTCCTTGTACCTCTGGTAGAATTCAGCTGTGAATCCATCTGGTCCTGGACTTTTTTTGGTTGGTAGGCTATTAATTATTGCCTCAATTTCAGAGCCTGCTATTGGTCTATTCAGGGATTCAATTTCTTCCTGGTTTAGTCTTGGAAGACTGTAAGTGTCCAGGAAATTATCCATTTCTTCTAGATTTTCTAGTTTATTTGCATAGAGGTGTTTATAGTATTCTCTGATGGTAGTTTGTATTTCTGTGGGATCAGTGGTGATATCCCCTTTATCATATTTTATTGCATCTATTTGATTCTTCTCTCTTTTCTTCTTTATTAGTCTTGCTAGCGGTCTATCAATTTTGTTGATCTTTTCAAAAAACCAACTCCTGGATTCATTGATTTTTTGGAGGGTTTTTTTGTGTCTCTATCTCCTTCAGTTCTGCTCTAATCTTAGTTATTTCTTGCCTCCTGCTAGCTTTTGAATGTGTTTTCTCTTGCTTCTCTAGTTCTTTTAATTGTGATGTTACAGTGTCAATTTTAGATCTTTCCAGCTTTCTCTTGTGGGCATTTAGTGCTATAAATTTCCCTCTACACACTGCTTTAAATGTGTCCCAGAGATTCTGGTATATTGTATCGTTGTTCTCATTGGTTTCAAAGAACATCTTTATTTCTGCCTTCATTTCGTTATGTACCCAGTAGTCATTCAGGAGCAGGTTATTCAGTTTCCTTGTAGTTGAGCAGTTTTGATTGAGTTTCTTTGTCCTGAGTTCTAGTTTGATTGCACTGTGGTCTGAGAGACAGTTTGTTATAATTTCTGTTCTTGTATATTTGCTGAGGAGTGCTTTACTTCCAATTATGTGGTCTATTTTGGAATAAGTGTGATGTGGTGCTGAGAAGAATGTATATTCTGTTGATTTGGGGTGGAGAGTTCTACAGATGTCTATTAGGTCTGCTTGCTGCAGAGATGGGTTCAATTCCTCGATATCCTTGTTAACTTTCTGTCTCGTTGATCTGTCTAATGTTGACAGTGGGGTGTTGAAGTCTCCCATTATTATTGTATGGGAGTCTAAGTCTCTTTGTAAGTCTCTAGGGACTTGCTTTATGAATCTGGGTGCTCCTGTATTGGGTGCATATATATTTAGGATAGTTAGCTCTTCCTGTTGAATTGATCCCTTTACCATTATGTAAAGGCCTTCTTTGTCTCTTTTGATCTTTGATGGTTTAAAGTCTGTTTTATCAGAGACTAGTATTGCAACCCCTGCTTTTTTTTCATTTGCTTGGTAGATCTTCCTCCATCCCTTTATTTTGAGCCTATGTATGTCTCTGCATGTGAGATGGGTCTCCTGAATACAACAAACTGATGTATTTATCCAGTTTGCCAGTCTGTGTCTTTTAATTGGAGTATTTAGTCCATTTACATTTAAGGTTAATATTGTTATATGTGAACTTTATCCTGCCATTATGATATTAACTGGTTATTTTGCTCGTTAGTTGATGCAGTTTCTTCCTAGCCTCGATGGTCTTTACATTTTGGCATGTTTTTGCAATGGCTGGTACCGGTTGTTCCTTTCCATGTTTAGTGCTTCCTTCAGGGTCTCTTGTAAGGCAGGCCTGGTGGTGACAAAATGTCTAAGCATTTGTTTATCTGTAAAGGATTTTATTTCTCCTTCACTTATGAAACTTAGTTTGGCTGGATATGCAATTCTGGGTTTAAAATTCTTTTCTTTAAGAATGTTGAATATTGGCCCCCACTCTCTTCTGGCTTGTAGAGTTTCTGCCGAGAGATCCGCTATTAGTCTGATGGGTTTCCCTTTGTAGGTAACCCAACCCTTCTCTCTGGCTACCCTTAAGATTTTTTCCTTCATTTCATAAGTCCTTTTCAATTGTGTTATTTCTTTCCTATTAAATCCACACATTTCTCATATTTCTCTTAATCGAAATTCAGAATTATTATTTCCAATCAAGCACCTCATACAGTACCTGGCACAAATTATGGAAGGCAAAAGGAGATAAAAGAATCTTCATGACATCAGTCACTGTTCTATTCAGTGAGAAAAGGGTGTTGGTGATGGCTTTGAGGTATGTGTAGCTTATGAGATATTAAACATTGCCAGAGGAAATACAGAAGCTTAATAAACTGCTAACCAATTTTATGAATAATACTAAATCAAAAGTTATATTAGCTCCTTATAGGGTAAAATACATAAATACTACACTGACACTTTTTTCTTTATAAATAGAAGGTGAGAAAATTATACATGGGAGAAAATAATGTATCCACAATTTTTAGCAAATTAGCAAGGCTCTGGCATAAACAATAGTTTTTAAACGATTTCCCATAGAAATCTAAGATACTACAGAGGACATAGCAGTATTAAGGGATAATGATGTCACAGCTTCAGAGCCTCCATCCTTTCTTTAGCAAGTTAGCTCTTCTTGTACCTGTTCTGTTTTATACAATATGGTTGTATCTAACTTTTTTTAAAAAAAACGTTCTGTTCTTCTAAAAAATTTCAAGCTATGAAAGTCACTGATTAAGTCAAACTCCTTCATTTTACAAAAGAGGCAACACAAACTCAGAGCACTTATGTCTTACTGTAGGTCACAAAGCCAATTAGCTCCAGGCCAGAAATGGGCTTTAGGTCTTCTGTCTGAGACTGGCATTTGATGCCAGTGATTTCCTCCATATTTAGGAGAAATGTATACATTTAAAAATATAACTCAGAGAAAATGAGTGCATATGGTAAAACTGTCTTGTAGCTCAGACATGTTTAGGTGCAATAGGTTAAAAAGTAGCTGTCCAGCTAAATAGTGAATTCTAAAATTATGAATACAAAGTAAGCAATAGAAATTAATATCATAACATCTCTGAGTGACAGTCAACATAATCAATTTGTAAAAAACAAGTTTGTTAAACTCCAAAAAAAAAAAAAAAAAAAAAGAAAAAGGAAAAAAAGGAACTCAAAGGAGAAAAACTTTATCAAGCCAGGTGATATTGAGAAAATTCTTAGAAAAACTATTAATTTTCTCCAAACAAGACTTGACTTACCAAAATCAATTAATAAATGAATTATCCATCTTCTGGGTCATTTTTAGCAAAATTGAAGACACAAAACAGATTTCTCTTCACCATCTAGCATACTTCTATCTAACCTCTTGTCATTAATTGGTACATACAAAGAAAGATCTGAACTTAATTTCAAGGATAACTTAAACCCATGCACAAATAATTGGTGAGCCTTCATTTCCCTGGCTTCAAGTTTCCATGTGAGGGCTCATGCTGTCTCTACTTTCCTCTTGGGAGGAGGGAAGATTTATGTAATGAGTAAATTTGGGCAAAGCACATTGAGTGTATTTGTTTGGCTTTGAGTCTCTTTGCAAACGTGTGTCTGCCTACAGTGACATGAGTTTGGATTGGCTGTCATCTCTGCAGGAAGCTGCCTGCTCCTGTGGCAGTGTCAAGCATCTCTTTCTTCCACTTGCAACAGTGTGTAAGAGCCTAGTCTGAGAAGAAATGTTCAGAAGCTCACTGTGGCTGCACATCTGAGCCACATCTTCCCATGAGTTGTCATAAGTCAGCAATAAAGCTGGTATGTTGATGTCTATCCGTCTGATTCTTATGTTCTGAACTCAGAGAAAAAATAGGAGCATCATTTGCAGCCTACCCCACCACAGCCCCACCAAGATGGCTACATAACACTTGTAAAAATGTTTCCTACTTCCTTGACTTTGTAACTTTATATTCTTCAACACAATCCCCCATGTTAACAAGAGAAAAGGCTAGAAGAAAGATTGTAAATAAAGAAATATAGTGAAATCAGGCCGGGCGCAGTGGCCTGTAATCCCAGCACTTTGGGAGGCTGAGGTGGGAGGATCACGAGGTCAGGAGATCAAGACCATCCTGGCTAACATGGTGAAATCCCATCTCTACTAAAAATACAAAAAATTAGCCAGGTGTGGTGGCAGGCGACTGTAGCCCCAGCCACTTGGGAGGCTGAGGCAGGAGAAGGGCGTGAACCTGGGAGGCGGAGCTTGCTGTGAGCCAAGATCATGCCACTGTACTCCAGCCTGGGTGACAGAGCAAGAGTCGGTCTCAAAAAAAAAAAAAGAAAAAAAAAAGAAAGAAAGAAAGAAAGAAATATAGTAAAATCAATCACAATAGTAAAGCCCAACAAATACAATGTTCACTATTTCAACAATAACTTAGTGACAGGCTACTGTTACATTGTACCTGATATTATAAGTTTAAAAATATTGCTGTATTGTCTTTTTGAGACCAATTTGATAAATACATATACATCACACACATACTTTTCCATAATTAATATATTTTCAAGTAACCATGTTGTTAAATTAAAATGTAATATCATTCTGTATTTTAAGGAGCAGTCAAGTTTTATGACAGTAATTATGCACTCCCATGTAGTATAATCACATAAGTTTGCACATTTAAACCACTGCAATTCAAGATCAAAATATCAATAATGTCTGAAGGCAATTATACTTGCTAGTTTGTGAGTATTAAATACATGCACTGTGCCACAGAGAAAGAAAATGGGGAATACTTCATTGACCAAAGACCTGATAGATTAAGCATAGATGCACACATATATTTAAAGTGCAACTCAACATTCTGTGGAAAATGTGCAACTCAACATTCTGATATGACAGTGTTCCACCATGTGACACAAAGTTCCACCATGTGGCACAATGTTCCATCATGCAACACAATGTTCCACCATGCAACACAATGTTCCACCATGTAAAAAGCTACAGTCTTAGGAATATGGTTTTAGCTTGGACATATCTATATAACTACATTTAGAAAAGAAGTTGCTAAACTGAATGAACATTTGAGAAATAGAAAAGTTACTTAAATAAATTATTAGAAACTTTTTGAGTCAGTAATGTACTGGAAGTCCAAATCCAATCAATGTAGAAATGAGTCTTCCTCTCTCAAACATTTAAAAAACATGTACCAAGTGACTACTGGGTGCCATACATTGTCTTAGACACACAGGTACTATACAACTTTGAAACCTAAAAAAAACTTTAAACCAGCTAATTCTTATCTTTCATTAATGTGGTATAAAGTGAAGATTTCAGTTATCACAAAAACATTCTATGTGCAAAAGGATCCAATGACTGATGTATTTTTGAAGCTAATTTTAATTTTTGAATTTTACAATATAATTTTTTAAAGAACCAATAAAATTATAAAATTCCTTCCCATATATGGAACAAAGCATCTCAGAATTTAAATAAAAACAAAGTAAACATTTGGAAAAAGTATACATAGTTATCTATGATAGCTATCATAGTGTTAAGTGGTAAGGCTAAACTTAATGTGTTGGTGACAGGTGCAAGAACTGGCAAAAGAGATCAACATAGAGAACACTGGCTTTGACATCTAGCACAACTTCCATCACATGCAACAAAAATGAGGTATTATAATCAGTTTCTCTATAGTTTAAAAAATGGCCTAAGAAAGAACTTCAAATTAACAATATTCCAAAATATCACAACCTTGTAAATAAAGAAGATAAATACATTCAGTATCAATGCGATTTTAACATATTTTATGTTAGATTTAGATATTTTAACATTTTACTTTCTAGAATTATAGCCAAAAATGTCTAAATATCTTCTTGTTTGGAATGCTCCCTCCAAAAACCTCCCTTTTGTATTATTTTAGATAATCTGTACCAACTCTCATAGTATTATTAGATGTTTTCCTAGTAGAAATAATTAAATTTTAGCAACTCTAGTAGGCACCTTCTTTCTGTATCTCTAAGAGTTTTGTAAACAATTACATAAGAACTTTTTCAGCTCATTCTAAAGAAGTTATGAAAACATGTCACTGAATCTTCATAGAATTATTAAGCCAAACATGATTTGGCAAACCAATTGCCCACAAAGGAACCCTGCACTCTTTGGAACTACTAATGAAGTTTAAGATGAACTGTCTTTCAACATATCTGGAAATACTAAAAATAAATAGCACTTTGCCCCCTAAAAACTAAGAGAAAATATCTTTGCTTGCACTACATTTGTATTTATACATGCTTTCATTATCTTGTGAAATTATACATGAGCTGATTATTCTGGAAAAAAAAGAAAATTTCATATGTGCATCATGATTAAACTTCACAGTAGTATTTAACATGCTTCCTCTTTTTGTACCCAGAAGTGCAGTTTTATGACCCTGAAGCACTTAGACCCTGATCATATCACTCTTTTTTCAGAAAAATAAAACTAAGCTATCAAAATAATTAAAAACTCAGCTAGCTAGGATCATCTAATTTATGTATTAAAACAATCGTTTAATTGTTCCCCTTTATTTAGCAGCAATGCTGTCTGAGAAAGTTTAGATTTGCTCCTCTAGAATTTTTTAGAATATGAAGCCAGGTAAAGAAAAAAGATTTCATTACATAAGCATACACTACTTTTCTCTGCATTAAAGAGACTGTGAAATCACCATCAAAACTATAAGCCAATGTGCATTGATTGAAATGGGTATTTCAGTGACAGAGATACACATTGAAAACTAGTTGCTACCTATTTATTTTAGTTCAAAAAATTGTGGGTTTTTTAATAATTTATTTTGTTTTTGTTTTTTTTCTCAACAGGGACTCACTAAGTTGCCCAGGCTGGAGGGCATTGGCTATTTATAGCTGTAATTATGATACACTACAGCCTGTAAATCTTGGGCTCAAGTGATTATTTTGCCTACTCAGCCTCCTAAGTAGCTAGGATGACTGCACACAGTTTTAAAATTTCTCCCCCAGTCAAAAAATGGAGTATCTATCTATCTATCTATCCATAATCAATGCTTTAATTTATATATCTTGTCATTGCTGGCATCATTTTGGGATCTCCAGAAATGGATTCTCACTATGAATAAAATCAGCTGGTTGGATTGTAAGATGTCTGCTACATCATCAAGGTAAATGGGAACCCTGCACAGCTTTATGGAATTCTGTGTAGAAAGAAGGTAATGGTTTATGTGTGGTTGTAGTTGCCATTAAAAGACTCAATATCATTGCCATATTAGTCATCAGTAATTCAAGTGATAGACATAAGTGAACATCATTTTAAAAATTTAAAGAGTTGAATGATTTAGCTATTTTCAAGCTATTGTAAAATTGCACAGCAATAACAGAGAGTTTACAAAAACTGAGAAAAAAAGTGATGTAGGTATAATGGCAATTAAAGACCCAGTCTTGTGTAAAAAAATTATAAGACTTTTAACTTAAAAACAAAACAAAAATGAATCCTTTAAGTGTTCCACGTTTATTTACTTCATAAACGTATTTATTTTAGATTACTTTAAATAATGAACATCTACATGTGATTAACTGTTTGGATGTCAAACATTCACTTCTGATTAGGGGCACAAAACTTGAGATGGTACAGGAAAACATGAAAAGTGTTATGAACAACAGTTAAACTCAAACCAATCAGAAAGTAAGCCAAAACATCTCAAAGTATATATTTAGTTACTAGGGAATAATATTCACTTTCTAAAATGTAACTTAAATGCAGTTTTTAAAGCAATTCAAAATGTGTTACTTAAGTTTATTGAATGAAGTTAACAAATAGGTATTTCATAAAAATGAGAGCTCCAGGGACTTTTAGTAAAATTTCTGATTTCTTTCTTTGTTAACACAGGTAATGTTGACCATTATTTAACACACGAGTCAATTAACTCAGTATTTCACCTACTTAAAAACAAGAATTGCATCAGAAATCTGAAAACCAAAGGAAGAAAGATAATACAACTAATCTTGAACAAGTAGGTCTTCGCACTGTTATTTTATGTCGTAGGCTTCAGGAAGAAATCATGAATTTTTCTTCTAAAATAAGTATTCTGTCGACTCAAACTATTGGTAAGATTTCCAACACAAGGTAATTCTAGGACTGGCCTCCTAGCATGAGTTGTGAATAAAGATCTGGTCTGTTGTTTCTCCAAAAGAAGTTTCTTACTGGTCTCTGCTTGTCTCTCATGAGTTCTATGAAGATTGCAAAAGAAAAAGCTTAGTATTTTATTTTATCCTACATAATTAGAAAAGGACTTGTATTTAAAAAGAAAACTCTTCTATAAGAATAAATAACATTTCCCATTAAACCGTACTTTATCAACGAAGATGTGTGAGAGTATGCCTAATGTATGTAATTATAGGTTTTAAATTGTTCTTAAAAAGTACATATATATTTTAGGAGAATTTCTAACAAAAAGTTTTTTTTGCCTGCCATGACTATTCACTATGTAGAAATATATCAAAATGTCATGTTGTATTTCTTAAATACATACAATTAAGAAACTAAAACTAAAAAAGCTATAAATATGTGTTTATTAAACCAGTTTAAAGATTTAAAAAAATTATCCCTCAAATATATTTTCAGGCGCTTGATTTAACATTTCTTGTACATTTTCACGCATTATTTGGGATCAATTAAGCATTTGACACTGAGAAGTAATTCACACAAACAACTCCTAGGGGAGACAAAAAGAACTAAAACAGCTTCAAAGGCAGTCAGCTACTGACATTGTGACCAAGGCATCGGAGGTGGGGCCTGTGCCTTCTGTCTTCCACACACACCCTCAGGCTAACAAAAGTGTTATTTTTAACCATTTTGTGAATTATACATCCCTTAATCTCTGTATTAGTAATTCCCCATTTCACAAGGATGTTTTTATAAAGAATGAGAAAACTATACAGGGTGTTTTCTCAGGGTGCTGTCTAATGATAATTCCCGAGATCACTACCAAAGAAAGTTAATTTGCCAACTGGCAGAAAGTGAAATGTAGTAGTAATTGTACTTGACCATTTTGGTCTCAATTTTAATCCTCCAAACAATAGTTAAACTTATTAGTATTTCTATTTGGGGACATGCTGAAAAGCCATTTAATGACAATACTACTGTCTGAATTAAATGCTTCAAAAATACTTAGCTGAAAGACTAATAGATCAGGTTGACTAGATGTGAATCTGAAGGGGAAAAAAAGCCATATAAAACCAACAAATGTGGAAGAGACATAAACTCTCCTGGAGAAACATTTGAAAGCTCAGTTGATTTACTAACATCATGTTTCCATAATTATATTATCTAGTTAACTTTCACTTCCCACTGATGTTGTGACCCTGTCTCACTAAAAATTAATCTTTTGAGGTAAATTAATGAGCTTATTTTCTATAATTATATTTTGACTGACTAGTTCATTTGACAACAAATCCCTAAATTTTAATTCTTCTAAATAGAGGTGCCTATATTTTTCTAATTCTGTTTTATTAAAGTCTTCTACAGTTTTCATTTTGGAGCGTTCAGATTCCAGATCTTTAACTATCAGCTCCATCTTATTTATTGAAACAATACCATGCTCTCTTAAGTGCTATAGGTTTCCTTGAGTTTCTGCTTGTGTTTAAACAAATTAAAAGTACAGTAACAAACAATTTAATTGGACATTTAAAAATAACTAAAAGAGTATAATTAATTTGTTTGTAACACATTGGATAAAAGCTTGAGGTGACAAATACCCCATTTACCCTAATGTGATTATTATGCATCTCATGCCTGTATTAAAATGTCTCATGTAACCCATACATATATATGTGTATATATATGTACACAGACACCTACTGTGTACCCACAAAAATTAAAATTAAAAAGAAAACAAATCAAAACGGTATATTTTAAAGTAATTATAAGCTTCATAATTATTGTATGTTTGTTTCCTTTTGTTTTAAGTCAGTGATTCAGAAAGCAATTTTAAATACATGAATGAGAAGCTGAAGCTTAAAATACTTATCAGCAATATTTACTAAATTGATAATAGCTAATACCTAGATAGGAGGATAAGTTCTGGTGTTCTGTGGCATTGTAGGGTGAATACATTTAGCTATAATTTATGGTATGCTTTCAAAAAGCTAGAAGAGAGGATTGGAAATGTTCCCAACAGAAACAAATAATAAATGTTTGAGGTATTGAATATACTAGTTATCCTGATTTGAGCATTACACAGTGTATACATATATAGAGGAGATATCACTGTTACTTTATATCCCATAAACATGTATGTACATGTCAACTAAAAATATTTTAAAAAAATTCATCTCATTAAAAAAAAATACGGGCCAAACTTAGTGACTTACAGCTAATGAGTAGAATCTAGCCTGACCATCCTCACTCAAAACAGGGGAAGGGGGTACCAAGGGCAAGCAGTTTGAGATAGCCTTTTCTAAGCTAATGCTGCAAATCTCATGGTGTAACTCTTACCATATTCCATTTATTCAAAGCAAGTTCCATTTATGAATGCCTAGAAGCTCCAATGTAGGTGATCTGGCTGCCTGCCATAGCCAACGTTCCAGGCAATGGCCAGCATTAACAACAAGACACACAGCTGAGCAAACCTTCAGATTATTGTACTTTCCCAGTCTTTGAGCTGTCCCCAGGAAAGATAAGAGGAACAGTGACAAGCTGTCCTGGCCAAGCTTCTCCCAAATGGCAGATTAATGCAACAAACACTGTTGTTTTAACGCACTAAATTGTGGGTGATTGTTAGGAAACAATAAAAATAAAAATTGATTTAAAAAATTACAATAGAAAACTTACACAGTAGGAACTAGTCACCTTTAAAGTATGATCTAATAGAGGTTGATATTAATTTTTTCATGTCAAACTATGCTAATGAGAAGCAATAGAAAAGTAGAAGACAGACAGACATAAGAGCTACTGAGGAGGAAGATTTCCTAAAATTCCTTTTAATTAAAAATTCTTATTACTAGGCAAGTGTGCTTCTTTAGGATTTCCACTCAAGTTAGGAAATCAGTAAGGCAGGGAAGCAAAGAGGCAAGTTTTGAAGTGCAACAGCTAGAAAACAAAAAATATTTGGTTTAACAATCAAAATCAGACATTATCTGATTTCATAGAAGTAAAATCTTAAGAAAGCTAAGCAGCAGAGTATGAAGTAATCAATCTGGCATTCATTATTCATTTTCCTTTCCTCAATGAGAAAATAAAGAGAACATTATAAAATCATTTTTGATCATCTCAGAAGTAAAATAAATGTAGTGGGTTTTGAATGTTAATAAATTAAATGCAATTTACCCTTCTCTGTACTTCAAGTTTGTCTATACGAAGAAGTTAAGACCATTTAATCTTTATGTTGTACCACAATCCTTCTTCATATCATACAAAAAATATTAGCTTTGATATTTTGAAATTTAAACAACTAATTTCACTATTATTTGTCTCTTATAAATTGCCTGAACATAACCTATTTTTTAGTGCTGAACTTCTGAAACTTTTTATTTGAATAGGATAAAATATTTATTCCAAAAAAAATGTATGAAGCTATAAAATATAGCTGTGCATCTTGATCTATTTAAGCAGAGGGAAGTAGTTACAGAGAATTGTGATTTCTGAGAATGCAGGAACTGTACCAAGAAAAGATCATCCCAGGTGTTATACATAAGAATCAGGGGCCAGGTCAAAAGAGGATCTACCTGTGAACTGCAAGATGATGAATTAGCTCCATTTCCAATGAGAAAAGCTTATAGCCTGGACTGACTCTTCTCCTCCCAGGATGGATAACATCTACAGATGATTGTAAAATTACAACGAGTTAATGAGTTAATAAAACCTAATGCATGAAATAGTAGACTGTAAGAAGATGATGTGACCAAGATTAGATGGAAATGGGACTCAAGAGAGAGGCATTCAATGAGAGACTAAAGGTTTGAATAGAGAAACAAAGGAAAGGACTCTTGTCTCTGTAAGCTTGACTTCCCACCATGTCATGGAGTCAGCAAGGAATAAGCTTGCCATGGAATCTTTCAAGAAACAAAAAGTAAAGATGTTTCTCTATATTGAGCTTTTATTATGCATGATAATATATAGCTGGTAATATGCAAAATGATTGAAAAAGAGTTATCATGTAAGTTGATGTGGTACTGGTTAGAATAGAGAGATCAATGTTTTAGAATTTAGAATCCAAAAATAGACCTGCACATTTATGGTCAATTGATTTTCAACCAGGGTAACAAAATTACTACATGAGAAAAGAATAGCATTTTCAACAAATGGTTCTGGGACAAATGGATATCCATATGCAAAAGAATAAAGTTGGCGTCCCAGCAAATACTGTATTTAAAATTTATCTGAAAATAAAATAGCTAAATTTAAGAACTAAAACTACAAGTTTCTTCGAAGAAAAGACAGGAATAAATCTTTGTGACTACATTTAGCAGTAGCTTCTTAGATATAACAACTCAAAATATGGATTAACATTATAATTTAAAGCTGTGGTGCTTGAAAATATACTAACAGTAAAGTAAAAAGGCAAGCCACTGAGTAGGAGAAAATATTGGAAAACTGTATTTCTCTTAGAAAACTTGTATCTAGGATATACAAAGAACACTTACCATTCAGAAAGAAAAAGATGACCCAATTAGAAAATGGGCAAAGGAAAGAAATATACATTTCTCCAAAAAAGACATACACATGGCTAAGATGCACATTAAAACAAGATTAAAATTATTAGTCATTAGGGAATGCAAATCAAAACCATGGAGGGGTGCCACTTCCCACCACTAGCATTGAATCATTCCTGGTAAAAATGTGGAGAAATTAGAACCCTCATACTGCTAATGAAAAATGGTATAGCTGCTTTGGAAAATGTACGGGCATAAAGTTAAACATAGAATACCATACGACTCTTCAATTCCACCCATAAGTATGCATCCAAGAGACATGAAAACATATGCAAACACAAAAACTTATACATAAAAGTTCATGGCAGCATTATTAATAATAGCCCAAAATGGAAACAACCTAAAGATCTATCAACTGATGTGTGGGTAGATAAAATGTTTGTTATATCTAGACAATGAAATATACTCAGCAATAAGAAGAAATGAAGTGCCGATACTTACTACAACAGAGGACCCTGAAAATGTTATGCTAAGTGAAAGAAACCAGTCACAACACGTCACACACTGTGATGTGAACAAGATAAAATGTACAGAACAGGCAAATATATACAAACAAAGTAGATCGGTGGTTCCCTAGAACTGAGCAAGGAATGGGAAACCGGTGGGTGACAAAAATGTAGAATTTCTTTTAAGAGTGATAAAAATATTCTAGAATAGACTGTGTTGACGATTGTATAACTCTGTGAAAATACTAAAAGCCACTGAACTGTGCACTTTCAAAGAGTGAATTGCATGGCATGTTAATTACACCTCAATAAAATTGTTACCAAGAAAACCGATTTGATACTAGTGACTTGAAGTCATAGGATGGTGTACTGCTTGCTTTTATATCATTGGCCAGGGTTCAAGACACAGAATGAGCAGTATGCCCATCTTATAGAAAAAGAATGCATTAAACATGTATTCTTCTAAGTCCATAAAATTAAAAAAATATCTCTTTCACGTCTCAAAGCACTGACAGATTTTTATTTCCCCAAAGTATTTGGGTACCTCTTTTGGTCCCAAAACGTACTTGATGTGTTAGCTTATTCATCTGAATATCCATTTCAAGTAGACCAGTTTTAAAATCTCCATGGAAATTAAGCTTTCCATTTTCACATTCCTTTAACTTCTTTTCTGTCATTTCTAAAAGCTCCTTATATCTGCAGGAATGTACAGAATGACTAAATCAAAATGTTTCAGACTAATATTTAATAATGTCTTAAACATGTTCTAACCTACAAAGAAACAAATCAATAAATTATGACCCTCTCTCGTTTGTTTCAATGTAACACAGTTTGAAAACATTCTAACAAAACTTAACTTTATGTAAGTAATATGAAGAAATTTTTACAACATATATGACAGATAAAGGATTGATATTATAATCATATATAGAGTTTTTATAAATAAACTATTAATATTTATTTTAGTATTTGGTTGGGGGAAAGTAATCATGATTTTTGAACCACGATTACTTTTGTACCAACCTAATATGTTAATATAAAATACTAACCTATTATTAAATACGAGGTTTCACTCAGAGATCAGCATCAAAGGGGAAAAGCATATTTATATGTGAATATTTGCAAAAGACACAAAAATACATTTTTGATACATTTTGACCACAGTCTATAGGAAGAAAAGAATATACACACACAAATTATCACAAAACTTATTCAAAGTAGAAAAATAGAAAGAAAAGAAAACAGTCTGAGTTGGGGAGGGAAAAGGAAATGAGAGATCATGTGAAGACTTAATGACAGCTGTAGGAAGAGATCTAAAGATCTTTGCTAGAACAGTGCTAACAAAGGGAAAGGCATCCAAAACCATGCAGAGAAAGATAATGAGAGAAAAATATTAATTGGAATCAGAGAACAAATTAAAGTTCTCAGCAAATAGAAAAGCAGCCATGTTGGGGGCTTCAAAGGCACTGAGGAAAATTCTATTTTTAATCTCGGTGGCAGAAACACAATTACTCATTTTACTCTTTTTTAGGTAATACATATTTTTATTATAACATATATATACATATATGTGTATATATACACATATGTGTATGTGTGTGTATCAAAAACAGCAGAAGTTTAGTGATATATATACATAACTCACATACGCATGGGAGGTACCAGTAGAAAATAAATAAATATCCATAATATATTTAAAAACTAAACAGAATCAAAAAGACTGAAATAAAAGTTAATCGAGATAATTTTTGATGATGTTTAAAAACAACAAGGGCAGATTTTCAGATATTAAAGAACAGCAGATATGCACACTGCCACCAGGAAGATTACCAAATACAATCATATCTTCAGAAATAAAAATTCAAAGTAGATAATGAAGACAGCAGTTGACATTATATGCCAAAGGCATTGTCATTATTGTTTTCAAAATCATTAAAGAATAAGTGTGATATTTAGGTATTCAAAAAAAGTTGCAGTTTGTGCTGTGACTGATAAAGCATTAAGATTGAATAATTTGTTTAATTATAAAAATGCAGATATAGGTCAAATTTATATCTCAGTTTTAATAAATATATTGAAATTATAGTTAATATATATTTTTAAAGTTCTAAAATATTGAAACCTTACCCAGTTATTTCTTTTCCTAATTCATTTTTTTCTTTATTTCCCAATCCAAATTATGCTCCAGAGATTGCATTAAGTCACAGTACATTCATTTATTTTCTCTTTTCTATATTCAGTCTTTTAAAGAAGTTAAAGAAAATTATTATTAAAAATCTAGAGACACTCTTCTTTCCTAAAAATATTTCTTGAGTTCATGAGTTATATATGTGTAAACCATTTTATAACATGCAGTTTATACACTTTATTCCAATAATGACAGATTGAAACATAACTTTTTAAAAAACAACCCAAAATGATTTATACTTTCATTAGTATCATTTGCAGAATTTGAACTGCCAAAATTTATTTGGTAAAAAAGTTTTTATGCATAAAATACTAAATGCTAACAATAAGTGAAAAAAATAAGTAGTTATATTTATATTTTGGTTTCCAAAGATGCCCTCAAAGCATTGTCATCAACAGTTCACAATACTCCAGGTTTGTTTATTCAGATCTAAGAAAGATAATTTTTTGAAAGCTCTCATTTGGTCCCCATAACATTTCTGATTCTTACCTAACTTCAGGATAAGGTAACTACGTTCATTCTCTGTAAGCATTCTTTTATGGTTTTTTGATTTTTCTTTTTTTATTTTTTTTTATTTTATTTTATTTTTATTTTATTTTATTTTTTTTTTTTGAGACGGAGTCTTGCTCTGTAGCCCGGGCTGGAGTGCAGTGGCCGGATCTCAGCTCACTGCAAGCTCCGCCTCCCGGGTTTACGCCATTCTCCTGCCTCAGCCTCCGGAGTAGCTGGGACTACAGGCTCCCGCCACCTCGCCCGGCTAGTTTTTTGTATTTTTAGTAGAGACGGGGTTTCACGGTGTTAGCCAGGATGGTCTCGATCTCATGACCTCGTGATCCGCCCGTCTCGGCCTCCCAAAGTGCTGGGATTACAGGCTTGAGCCACCGCGCCCGGCCGATTTTTCTTTTTTTATTAACCATTTTTCTCTAGATAAAGTTTATGTGTTTTCTACGTTTATCATTATCAATATTGTCAACTTATAATAGATTTATCAAGATGTAACGCCACTGCAAACTGAGGAGACCCTGTACTGTGTGTTGAAAATCCCTACTCTAAAATCTGAAGCTTCAAAATCTGAAACTTTTAAAATGCAGACATAATTTTTCTCAACAGTCAGAAAAAATTTTATTATTGACTAGAACAATTCTCCTCTATTAGAGTGGTTTCTGTTTTATATTTATTGATTGAAATATATTTCGAATAAAACTTTATTATGTCAATGTCTGAAAAAATAAATTATCAGTATAATAAATTTAATTGTGTTGTAACAACTGGTAAGAAAGAATATTTTCAATTTATACAATAACAGGTAGCATGTATGTCAGATATAATCCTCTGCTTAGGTAAATTTATAATAAGACATGATTATGTCTCATGAAAAAATAAAGCAATGTACAATTGAAAGTTAAATTGTTCTGCACCAACTAGAAAACACATCCTGAAGCATAAGGTCAATGAGAGTCAGAACAGTCAGAGAAAGCTTCATGAAAATGGAAAATGTGTCCATCAAGTCTGAATGAATGAGGACAGATGAACAAAAACTGAAAATGGAGGAAAAGCATGAGGAAGGCAGAAAGATAAGGAAACCGGCCCAAGTAAGTAAATATAAAATCCAGTGGCAGAGAAATAAAAACATAGGTCCATACAATAACTTGTAAGTGAATGCTTATAGCAGCATTATTCATAATAGCCAAAAGGAGAAGCAGCCTAAAGATCTATCAACTGATGAAAGAATAGCTGCTGTAGCCATGCAATAGAGTATTATTGGACAGTAAATAAAAATGAAATACTGATATGTACTACAAAATAGATGAACCTTAAAAACACTACGCTAAGTAAGAGAAGCTGTTCATTAAACACTACAAATTGTATGATTCCATTTCTATGAAATGTTCAGAACGGGAAAATCTATAAAGACAAAAATTAGATGATGGTTGCCTAGGACTGGGGAAGGTGGAGAAACATAGGAGTGAGTGGTGGTGATGACTAAGATACGAAGTTTCTCTTTAGGGCGATGAAAATGTTCTGAAAATGATTGTGGTGATGGTTATACAACATTGTGAATATATTAAGAGACATTGAGTTGTACAATTTAAATGTGTGAACTGTATGATACGTGAATTTTATCCCAATGAAGTTCCTTTTTAAACATCCAATGGCATTATCAAGATAATTTCCTTTATTTTCTATTTTGAATATGCCTACTACACATGATCTAAATATATGTTTATACAATATAATTAAAAAGAAAAAAATAAAAGAATTGCCTAGCTATTCAAATACTGTGTATATTAACCTAAACATTTGCATTTTGGAGAGTAGTATAATGTCCTTGGCATCCATTCACAAAAGTGGAGCTAAGAAATAAGATAATTTTCTGGAATATTCCATTACACATTCTTCTCTGATTAAATATGGCTTGCCTCACCATGGCAACATAAATCACTGAAAAATACTGTTTATCTGAAGAATAGTCTCTCAACTTGTGGGATAAACAATGTATAATTCTTAATCTTCTTAAGGGTAAATATTATGAGAAAAAATATGTAATTATAAGAAAAACATTGCAGAATGATAGCCACAGTTTTTAAAATAAGCACATTATAAGGATAATAGAATTGTAATAAAACTAATTATAATGAACATATAAAAGAAGTCTTCCCATGGAAATTAGTATCATAAAACAATTTATATTATTTAACCAGCTATAGATTCACTGTTGGCATGTTACATTTAATACATACTTGACTTTTGACTTGAAATCATTTCTTCATTAAATCCTATATCTCATCTTTGAGATTAATGTGATCATGTGATGTAAGTTCTAGTGAAGTCTCAGACACACACACAGTTTATTGAGATCAGCCAATTTTTTTTGTCTCACAATGACCTGACAAGACATATTTGTTATTGATTTTGTAAATCATCTTATCAAATTAACAATATTTACTTTTTAAAAAATCCCCAAATATATTGATTCAGCTTATTTTCTTCATTTGTACACATTGCTGCTTATTACCGAATCCACTCAAGGACAAAAGAAGGTGTTATCTTCCTGCCAAACTGGTAGTTTCTTACTAGACACCAGATTCATCCCACTAGTCATTTGTCCCCTAATGAATCGGTAATGCTTCAAAACCTACTGAAGTCTCAAAAAAAAAAAAAAAAAAGTTGGGGCAGGACTAGTGGTGGCAAATTCTACACAGTGGAATGCTTGCTTTCTTCTGTATTAGAAGCACAAATCAACATCAAAGTTCCTCACATATACAATCACCTGTTGAAATTTTTCCAATAGATTTCTATCTCAGAATAAAACTATTTTTATTTTAAAGCCTTTAGAGACCCTAGGTAACCTGCTCTCCACATCTCTCCTGCCGTCAGCTGCTATGTTTCTCTTCTCTACTCGCTTATTTTGTACTATACATGAACCTTGCCACCCCACATGAATTGTAAAATGGGGATCCAATGCAAAGCTAATGAATCACAGATAGCTACAATGACCTTTCTCTGGGACATGATAGTCTTTGAGCCTTGAAATAGAAATTATGAGCAAATTATTTATAACAATATTCAAAATAAGTTATAAATACCAGTGGGGTGATTAAATCAAATTTGATATTGTAAAATTCACTATATTTGTCCTAAGGTATTATTTAATAAAATGCAGATGTCTTTAAAAAATTGAGAGGTTATAACAATACATAATTTGAGATTCAAATATGTTCAGATTTAAGTCAAATTGACATAAATGAAAATAAAATTATATCAACTAAAATATACAAAAAGCTACTGAAAAAAAGTATTATTACAAGATGCAGAAATGTACACTTCAAAATATACTTCAAATACACTTCAGTTCCTCTGGAAAATTTATAATTAATTGTCAAAGTAGATTGCTGAACTGAATCTTAATTTCAAAATACTAATTGCTGATATGGGCATTCCCATTTATCTGCTTCAATGTGTTCATAAAATGTGGCGACAAAGAGACATTAAAACCTTTATTTCAACAGTAAAACCCAATGTCATTAATGTTCATCTATTAAAAATCTTAAACTTAAAATTTCATCAGTGACACAATGTCTTTACTCAAAGTGTAACGTCTCTCTCAGCTTTAACTTTCATTTTGTGGAGATGAGGTATGTTTCTAAGCTGACATAGTAAGTATATTTATCATCTGTTTATATTCTACTAGATTCAGCATTTAACCAACGCCAAATATGCTTTAAATTTTCTTTCAGGAAGGTTGACAAGTATTTATATTTTTTGATACTTACTTCTCTTTCTTCTTTCTCTTTTTCATATTTATATATACAGTCTTTTAAATGTTTATTGTAATTAAATATCTCCTCATTTTTCTCTTTTAGGAGATGATGTTGCATTTTCCTCTCAAGAAGCGGAATATTAATTGTTATCTTGCTTTTGTTAGCTTTCTTATGTGCATGAATTAATTGCTGTCGAAGCCACAGATTTTTGCTTTGTAGTTGAAATAATTTCTGCTCCAGAGACTCCTGCTGTTCATCGTGTATGTTCACATTATCTTGTTCATTTTGATACATGTGTTCAGCTTTCTTCATTTGATACTGTGTTTCATCTCGCTCTCTTTGTGCATGTTCTGAAACCAATGTATTTTCCCTCAGAGCATCTCCTGCATAATTGAGATTAATTTTTAGGCTTTTGGATTTCCTTTGAGCTTCAGAAAGTGGTTGATGGAGCACCTCATTGTTATATATTGTATTATTCACATCAACATTAATTTTGTCTTGCAGACAAGCATCTCCTGCAGTGTGGAAAGCAAGTCCTTGGCTTTTTCTTGATGTCACAATTTGATCACGGTCTTGTACAGCAGAAGCCAGTCTAGGATGGTATGATTCAATTTCTCTCTCCCGTATTTCTTTGTCTTGTTTTTCCTTCAATTTAGAAGTGAGCTCTGTGTTCTCAGCCATCAGAACTTTAAGCTGCCCACTATATTGAGATGCCCTTTTTGTTAATGATTCCTCTTTCAGTTTTAGAGTCATTTGAAGTTCAGCATTCTTTTCTTTTAAAATCTTAATGTCCTTAAAGTATTTATTTTCCTTCTCCTGGTGTTGGTGTTTTAGTTTGGCTATTTCCAGTTTTAGCATGGCAATTTCCTTTTTCAACATGCGATTTTCATGTAGGAGATTATTTTCATTTTCATGAGCGTGAGAAACCTAAATAAAACAAAATAAACTTTTAGCTAGCACTCAATAAAATGGCATATCATGGTTCCTCTGAAACGAAAGAATAACTTGTACATTTATACAATGAAAGGGTTTTTATAAGTAGGTATCATTTGAAGAATCATTGAATCAAAACTTCAAATGCTATAGAGCATAAATTCCCCAAATTTCAAACATTTATTTGAAGACAATGACTTCATGAAAGTACAAAATAAATGACTAGAGAATTTTTAAGAGCCTCAGAATTGAAAAAAAAAAAAGTTCCTCCAACGTTTTGGAGATTTCTCCTTTTTTCTTTTTTTTTCTTTCTTTTTTTTTTTTTTATTATACTTTAAGTTCTAGAGTACATGTGCACAATGTGCAGGTTTGTTACATATGTATACTTGTGCCATGTTGGTGTGCTGTACCCATCAACTCGTCAGCACCCATCAACTCGTCATTTACATCAGGTACAACTCCCAATGCCATCCCTCCCCCCATCCCCTACCCCCTACCCATAATAGGCCCCAGTGTGTGATGTTCCCCTTCCAGAGTCCAAGTAATCTGATTGTTCAATTCCCACCTATGAGTGAAAACATGAGGTGTTTGGTTTTCTGTTCTTGCAATTGTTTGCTGAGAATGATGGTTTCCAGCTGCATCCATGTCCCTACAAAGGACATGAACTCATCCTTTTATATGGCTGCATAGTATTCCATGGTGTATATGTGCCACATTTTCTTAATCCAGTCTGTCACTGATGGACATTTGGGTTGATTTTAAGTCTTTGCTATTGTGAACAGTGCCGCAATAAACATACGTGTTCATGTGTCTTTATAGCAGCATGATTTATAATCCTTTGGGTATATACATGTCATCCTACCTCTCATGCTTGTTATGGGAGCTTGACTGACAGTCTCAAAGAAATCTCTGTCTACAGAATTTGACTGCCACACCCATTCTCATTCTAAGTGTAAACTTCTTCAATTTTATCTAACCTAACACTATCTGTCTTTATATAGAGATCACTTATATTTACTTATAAGTGTTGTTAACTTGCTTTTCTATTCCTACCACTTTAACGTAAGTCCTCATCCTGTGTATTCAGGTCTCACTGCTTAGCACACTTATGCTATTCAGGAAGCACATTATTAATAGTCAAAGCATTTAAAATCTCATCAGAGAGGTTTAATTTGCTAAATTCTTCGCAAGTTTAGAAAATAGTATTAGTAGCCTGCTGATACTTAACATATCCATACACTAAACTAGAAATGCACATGTCTGTGGTATTCCCCCATTATTTTTCTGACAATACTGCCTTCATGTTTAGAAAAAGTACCCTCGATATTTATTAAGCCACTGAATACCACTGTCATCATTATCTTACATTTGTATACACATTTTTCAGTTTGCAAAATATTTTCACTTTTATTACAACATTGCTCAATTAAACATATCTAAAAGGTAGATATTAGCACTAATTCAATGAACAAGGCCACTGACATTTGAATACACTAAATAATTTTCTCCAAGGTTACATAACTAGTAAGTAACAGAACCAGAATACTGACTGGTTTTTTGACTTCTACTCATGATTGTTACTGCTATAAAGCAGCTACTTCTAACAACTAGTGGGGCCCTTTCCAGCTCTTTGCACAGCTGTGATCTCAGAATACAGATATTTATGTGGCTGAAAGCATGGCTGCCACAAAATAACTCAAATAGTTCTATTTGTGAAAATAATGTTCACTCTTTAAAACACTACTCAACCAAATTGTTTTTACTGTAGTTTCTCAGGTTTCCTATTTTTCTTGCTTTTCCTTTGCCCAAAATATTCCTTAAGATCTGCACTGTGCAATCCAAATATAACAATACTTTCAAGTACCAGGCATTATCCTTTCAAGTTCCAAGATACACAAAACTATTTTACCTTTTTCCTCTGAATCCAGATATACCAGAGAATCATAAATTTGCCCACAGGTGGACCCCTGAACTGAAATTCTTCAGTTTTTAGACAATTGTAGATTCAGAACCCAGATAAATTCCTAGATTTCTAAGATGTATTTTCACACTATACTACACTACCTTCTTAAACTTAATCCTGAAAATACGTGAAATTGCACTATGAAGCAGTAATCTACTTAGCAAATAATAACTGCTTAGTATTTTCTGAAAAATATCAGAAATTACTGAAGGGCAATATGCAGAGGTAAAACAATAAAGTCAAAGTCTCTCAAGTTTCAACATCACTCAATATTTATATTTAAATAATAATAAAAACAAAATTACACAATACCTTAGAACTCCAACGTGATTCTGCATATGTTTCTTTTCCTGATTTTAAGGTCAACATATTATCTATAAAATATTAATCACAGATATATTAACGAGAATATTTACTATGATATATTTTAAAAGAGTATACAAATCTATTTTTTTCATGAATCTGTGGTGTTTCTTATTCAACCTGTAAATACTTTTTTCAGATTATTCCCACAACTTTTATGGTCAATCTAATAGAATTGCAAACTAAAATATTGTATTCATTAGAATAGAAAAAAATAGAAATTTGGCTAACTTGTATAAATTATTTCTTCAAAAAGGCAGTAATGTGTTCTTCTTCCCAGAAACACAGTATGTCCTATGCTTGAAATTTAATGAGATAACTTTAATTATGTGTTATCTTTTTTCAATTTTTTATCATTACTTAGTTTGATTGACTCAGCAATCTGTTATTCAAATGAGATTATCAATAAATAAGACTCGAGAAATATAAATTTTTTATGTTAACAAACTTTATGTCCAACAATTTTAAGTTTCAACATGCATGACAGTATATTTTGTGTATGTGTAATAAATAAATAAGCTTAAAAAGCTTTTATTGCATATACATTAAATTTTAAAACTCCTTTAGTTATTTTGAGACAGTCTTTCAACTTGTGATGCCTTAGAGAATCATTAGAAATCTATATAAAAATAATTGCTTTAAGTAACCTATTTTTTCCCTAAAAAAGAATTAAATCAATGTCTACACATTAGTAAACTACTGTTTCCACATTTAATAGAATTAAATCAGGATCTACACAAGATCCAAGGAGTACTGAGAGTCATGAGACAGAATACACACACACACACACACACACACACACACACACACACACACATATCCAGTTTTCTTTATAAACAAAATTTTCAGATTTGAACTATTTAAGACAGGTTGAAGAAAAAAGCAAACATGCCTAACAAAAACTTTAGGGATGATTTCATCATTACGGGTCAACTGATTATTTGACATTCATGAACTAAAAATCTGATTTTTAAAACTGGTCTTAAACTCTGATCAGAATATCCCTGGAGTTCAAGTTTCCTCCAGGGAATCCAAGAGGTCAAATCATACTTTTGCTGTTGACCATGATCATTTGCATTTATTTAGAAGTGTATACTGGAATGTTTCAGAGACAAACTGTGTTGTAACACCATAGCTCTAATAATTTTTAACTCATAGTTCTAATTGCCATCAGAATATATATGATTGTGCATGCTTATATCTTAAATACTATACTTTTAATTTTTAATATATTAAAAATAAAATATAAAGCCAACTTAAAAGGCTTATCAAAATCTGAATTTGTTTTTATTTTTATGTATCTTATCAGCATAAAACAGTTTAATTAATTGTGGTACAGTCATATAATAGAATATGAAAATCATGGAGCCATAAGACAGAAAACAAACATAAAACAGAAATAATGTTCCGTTTTCTTTGTAAACAAATTTTTCAAATATTAACTCTTTAACATAGTTCAAAGAGAAAAGCAAACACGCACAACTGAAGCTTTAAATATCATTTTAATATTAAGGGTACATTTATAATTTGACATGCATGAACTATATATTTGGTTTTCAAATGTGCTTTTAAGTTGTGAGATGAGCATCCCTAAAGTTCAAATTTCAAGTAGAGAATCCAAAACTCAAATCATACTTTTGTTATCGACTATTTTCAATCTCATTTTTAGAAGTGTATACTGCACTGTTTCAGGGAAATAATGTGTTACAACAGCATAGCTTTAATGGTCCATAGGTCACAGTTTTCATTTTTATTAAAGTAGATGATTGTGCATGGTTATACTTGAAATTCTTTTTTTTTTTTTTTTTTTTTTTTTTTTTGAGACGGAGTCTCGCTCTGTCGCCCAGGCTGGAGTGCAGTGGCGCGATCTCGGCTCACTGCAAGCTCCGCCTCCCGGGTTCACGCCATTCTCCTGCCTCAGCCTCCCGAGTAGCTGGGACTACAGGCGCCCACAACCGCGCCCGGCTAATTTTTTTTTTTTTGTATTTTTAGTAGAGACGGGGTTTCACCGTGGTCTCGATCTCCTGACCTTGTGATCCGCCCGCCTCGGCCTCCCAAAGTTCTGGGATTACAGGCGTGAGCCACCGCGCCCGGCTATACTTGAAATTCTTTCGTTTTAATTTCTAATATATCAAAAATCAGTAGATAAAACCAACTTAAATAAGACTGAAATTTGCATTTGCTTTTACTTTTTGCGTAAACAAACTTTAGTTGTGGTGCAGTTATATAACGGAATTATATAAAGAATGCAATAAAAACAAAACCAGAGCTAATTCTGTCTATTACGGATGGATCTTACAATATAATGCTGATCAAATAAAGAATGTTACAGAAAATTACACACAATGTACAATTATTTACATATTAGAAGTTAAAAACAAATTCTACATATTATATATGACTGTGCACATATGTTGTATAATGTTTAAGCATGTATAGGAACAATTTTTTAAAAACTAGTTTAGACAATTGTTTACCTCTAAACAATGAAAAGACACTAAAGCCAAATGCTTCAGAATCACAGTTTTACAAATATAATTATAAAGAAATGATTACTTCTCCCATTTTTAAAAACTAGGGGTACCACACATAAACACACATACACACGCACACAGGCACAAACATGCACACCACACACACACACACATACACACGCACAGAGTAAGCTAAATCAGAATAACTGATTTCCTTAGGATGCTTCAAATGACTACATCCACATGAGGTAACCAATGTTAAAACACAATTGGCATGTCAAAAAGTGAAGCTTTCTCTGCAGTAAAGGGTAGAATTTGAATCAAGTTTTGAACAGGAAAAATATTAGAGTTTAAAAATTCATCTTCTTGAATCTTTAAGTCATAAAGACATTCCCAATACAAAACATTACAGTATCAGAACATAAAAATAGAAACACCTAAAATTAAAGCTAATTTTAAAAAAAACTAATTAAAATTCGTGTTCTTGTAAATAATCAGTTTTTCAAACGTGGATACCACTATGGACACTATTAACTCAAATATTTCCATAATATTTGAAAAATAAACATTAGGGAGATGAGACTATTAATATGTCAACTATTGAAATATTCATTTTAATATAGTTGAACTGTAAAATTACCTGTTCTCAATGTTTGTTTATTCCTCCTTTCTAAAGCTTTATTTAGAACAGAGTTTTGCATTTCAACGGCAGGCTAAATGGGTTTAGAAGAAAAATGATTAATAACGAATGTATACTTCACAAAATACATAGTTAATAAATAATTCAAGATAAAATTATAAAACTCAATACCTCAAAGTCAGAAGGCTTTTCAGTAGACTCTAAAGCAAAAGAGATTTGTTATCAGTCATAGGTAAATATAACAAAACCAACCACAAATGAACCCAGTGATAGTATCTAACTGAGTCCTCTTGCTCAGCTTTGAGAATGATTCCTTTAGGTTTAGGAGATTTTCTTTTGTTTGTTTCTTTAGGACACTCACATGACAGAAATACACTGAAGAAACTAGGAATCTACGGTTCATCAAACATGCACTTAAGATTTCAAAAGTGAGAATCTGTTTTGCATGCAAAATGTGTTGATATTAATATGTATATGCTGAGTGATGAAAGCATAAATGATCTTTGATCAGAGGAGCAAACCGTGACCCTGAAAAAATAAATTTCAAAGCTGAACATAGAATCCTACACCATATGTTTAATGAAATACATTAGAATAATTTATATCATTACATTCATCATGTTCTTTAATTTGTCCTACAATTGAGACGGTACACCGTTATGATGAGAGTTCAGCTGAATGCAGAACTGACATCTCATCACTGAACGTGTTACAAATTGATCAGCTTGGATATTTACCTAGGGGATAATACTAAATAAAATATTCATTGTTTTCCATATCCATGTGGTGTAATCATATGCCTACATTTCTGTATCCTCTAGTTTATCCTCAGAAATTTTCTTGATTCACTCATGTAAAAAATATATACAAAATTCATTTAAAAGTTTGTGTAATGAGCTTTCAATATTGGCACATTTATTTGAAAATTTATGGCAACATACATATTACATACAAATAATATTTTATATTTTTAAATCAGGAAAATACTTATTTAAAAAAAATTTTAGAATTCAAGTAATAAATTCAGTATTTTTTTGTTTCTAAAAATTAGTCTGCTTTATTAAGTGTCTAATGGATTTTTATAGAACAACAATTTTACCAAAACAATTTGCTTCATTAAAAATAAAGCCAATGCTCTTAGATTCAAATATCTCTCATTTGAATAGCTAATATCAACAAAATATATACCGTTTATGCCTGATAGTAATAGAGAAAACTAAAAAGTCACCATAGTTTACTCCAATTCTAGTAATCCTCCGCTTCCGGTAGTCTCTGGAGTACCCGAAATCTAATCTTCTGGAGTGCAAATATTGTAAATGCATCTGAAGTGAATTCACTCAAATTTCCTATTCAGAAACTCCAAAGTTGCCTGGCTATCTTCTTTCTTGCCCCATTTCCTGCCTCACAATCCCTCTTGCTTAGCCAAAATAATGTCCACATCTGTGGTCTTCATTTTTCCCATTCAATATCTTTTAAAATCAATTTTCCCAACACTTTCTTTCTCTTTGATTAGGAATAGTATCTGACACCTGTAATTATTATTTCTTTACCCCTTTTCCCCTCTGACCAGAAACAGATGCAGAAATAAAAGCAATATAATGCTTTCCCTTGACCCTGTTATGTCTTGATCTTCTATCCAATTGCTCTTCTTCCAGATTTTTCCAAAGGAAAGGCTATTCTCTTGCTACTTAAGAGTGAGGTCCAAGGACCACCAGCACCAGCATCACCTGAGAACGTATTTAAAATGCCAGAATCCCAAGTCTGCTGAATCACAATGTGCACTGTTAAAAAGGTATTCAGCTGATTTTATAAAGTGTGAAAAATTCTGGTCTATACTGAGTGTATGACAAATTATATACACGCATGGCTGTGCCAGTATGCTTATATTCTCCTATTGCAGATAAAACACAACTCTCTATGGTCAGTTGCTTCCATCCCTAATGCCTTCCCACCAGTGAGAAAGACAGGAGTGACAACATGTTTGCTGTAATTCCCTGGCAAATTTTGGTAATGGAAGGTCACTTTTTATTCTTCTCAGCTTTCTAATCATGCTCTATCTTTCTCTAAAGAATTATTTTATTTTACCATTCTCCATTATATAAACCTGCTTCTTGTTCCCTCATGTACTCCCTGTCTTCCTCAGTCTTCATTCCCTCTTTAACTCCTTTCTTCAGGTATATTGAATTTAAACTAATAATTCAGCTCTTTTTTTGGCACTCTCAATATAATCTGTTGCTAACACCTGAGAAGACATGTAACTTTCACTCCTTTTGTCCTTCCATGCTACGCGTTTAAAACATAATTTTCTTTGGCTGTCAGAGTATATCAGTCCTCACGCTTTTAGACAAATAATTGGTCAAATGATGTTTTAAATAAAAAATGGTTCTTACCTTCTATTTTGCCATTTATTGTCTTTATTTCTTTTTGATATGTAGCCTCAGTTAAACACACATAATTCTGTGTATCACTCTCAGAGATAATCTGTTAAAGATAATATCAATAAATAATTTCTTTTTTTTACTATTCTTTTGTTTTTTTTTTTCTGAGACAAAGCGTCACAGGGTTGCCCAGTGGTATGATCTAGGCTCACTGCAACTTCCAGCTCCCAAGACCAAGCGATTCTCCTGCCTCACCATCACGAGTAGCTGGGATGACAGGCATTAGCCACCACACCTGGCTAAATTTTTGTATTTTTAATAGAGACAGGATTTCACCATGTTGGCTAGGCTGGTTTCAAACACCTGACCTTAAGTAATCCACCCACCTTGCCCTACCAAAATACTGGGATTATAGGTGTGAGACACCATAGCCTGCCTCAATAAATAATTTCAATTTAAAAATAATAATAACAAGCATCATATTTTTCATTTAAAATCTTTTTTAAAACAACATTTTTTACTCTAAAGGTAATTAGATTTAAGGCTGTTCACATATTGAAAACCAAAACATTCAAGAGAAAACCTCAAATACGCTCTGTAAATCATGCTTATCTTTTATCTTCATGTGACTACTGACTGGGTTACTGAGCAAAGAAAATAAATCATATTCCCAAAAAAATTCAATCGTGTGCATATTTCAAAAGGAATTAAATTCAAAGTATCTGCCTTACACTGTAGTCCTTGCAAAAAATAACAGGGCATTTCACACAAAATACAACACAATTAGACATTTGACATATGCATAATTACAGATTTTTTGTTAAAAATTATGCACGGCATGAAGAGAATTTTCAGAGTATGTCATGCAGAGTAGGAAAAGAATTCTGTAAAAGCTGTTTCACTTAGGAAAACAAAGACTTAAGATAATAAGAATAAATTTTACAAGTTTTTTGCTGATAAAGAACTGCTTGAATAAAAGATTCATAAGGAAAAAATATTTTTGTTATTTTTAAATGAAAGCAAACAATCATTAGATAAAGTGTGCAATTCATTCTTAAGACATAACTTCAAAAAAGTAGAGCAAGCCTTCATAAAGAGAGAAAAATAAAAGCATGTATTCATGAAACATCTAACATGTTCCAGACACGTATTTGCAGATTTTTCTTCACCTTAGAATAATGAGGATGATGATGATGGTGGTGGTTACCCCACTTTCTACTTCCTAGTCATTCTAGGTTGTTAAGAACAAAATGATGAACAAATATGTTTCACTGTTCTCTCTGTTCCGAATGTTTTGCTCCTAAACTTTCATATGGCCTAGTCTTCATCTTTGAGATGGAGATTAAATGGCAGTCTCAGACAGATCTACTCTGACCATAGAATTCCACTGCCACTCCCATACCCGTGCTAATTATAAAGTTCTTCAATTTTCTCTAACCAAACATTCTCTGTTTTGTTTTTAAGAAAAATTTATAATGACTTATAAGTGGTTTTTTGTTGTTGTTTTTGTTTTTTTTGTTTTGTTTTGTTTTGTTTTTGAGATGGAGTCTTTCAAGTCCCAGGCATTATCGTTTTAAGTTCCAAGCTGAGCAAGACTAAGACTACACTTTAAACTCTTTCTCCCTGAATCCAATTAGAGCCTTTGTACATCTAGATATACACAGAATTATGTATTTGCCCATAAATGAACACAGAGAAATTATTTAGTTTTTAGACAAACTCAACTTCAGAACTCAAATAGATTCCTAGTGCCTTCTAAGCCTTATTTTCTTTTGCACTATTCTACATTGGATTCAAAATTAATCCTGCAAATTAGCAGAATTGCACTATGCAGCTATTATCTACTTGGCACATGATTATAAAGTATGTTCTGATAAATGTCAGAAAATAAATGCTTTCTCTCTCTCTCTCTCTCTCTTTTTTTTTTTCTTTTCTTTGAGATGGATTCTCACTCTGTCACCCAGGCTGGAGTGCAGTGACGCGATCTTGGCTCACTTCAAGCTCCGCCTCCTGGGTTCACACCATTCTCCTGCCTCAGCCTCCCGAGTAGCTGAGACTACAGGCACGCACCACCAAACCTGGCTAATTTTTAAAATATTTTTAGTAGAGACAGTTTCACCATGTTAGCCAGGATGGTCTCAATCTCCTGACCTCATGATCACCCAACTTACGGACACATGCAGAGGTGAGAGTATAAAGTCAAATCATCTTTTTTTGTTTTAAGATTACTCATTACTTAAGTTTTAAAATAGCAACAACAACAACAATACACATACCTCAGAATCTGAAGATGATTTTGTATCTTCTTTTTGTCTTGATTCTGATGTGGGTATCTTATCTACAAAATGTTATTCACAGACACATATATGAGAACATTTATTACTGTAAATTGTAATACCATATACAAATCTATTGCCATTTATGAGTATTTCAAAAACAAAACTAACAGCAAAAATAGAATTTCAGAATTGAAGCAAGTTCAGTAAAAAGAATTGATAGCATGAAGAAAGATATCAGAAAATATTTTTTTAAATAGCCATTGTATTTTGGTCTATAAAATTGTTTTGTAAATAATAGCACTTAAGCATAGAAAGATTTTCAGAGATATTCACTAATGTACCACTACTATTATTTTGGTATAAAAATAAAATTGTCATTACTTGTTTGATCTTGTGGAGCTTGTTCAATAATGCCAGTATCATTTTCTTGTTGTCCAGTTACTCTCTTTGTTGCTTCCTCCTATTACAAACAATAAACAAAAGCAACAACAACAACAAAAAACTTCAGGAAAAAATTGTATTTATTCACTCACACAATTTATCAGTAAGACAAAAGAGAACAACAACAAGAAAAACATACACTGTATCTATCAAATCATAGGCACTATCCTGGGAGAAGCAGAAAATATACATGGAAGACAGGTTCTGGCCTATATTCAAGAAATGGTAGAGATATGTGAAAACAAAAAAAGAACAGAAAAGTATAATTCACCAGTTCTACAATTTAAGTCAATAAAATGCATAAGAGTACAAAGGAGAGAACAATGAGTTTTACCTGAAAAGCATAGAAAATGCCGCCATAATGGGGCCGTAATTGGAAGGACAGGCAAAGTGCAGAGTCAGGATACAAAGACTCTAGGTACAACAGCATGTGCAAAATAATAAGGCATGAAACAACGTGGCAACTGAGGGATGCCAAAGTGATGTGGTAAAACTGGAACACAGTCAGAGCAAATGAGTTGAAGAGACAAAAAATGGGACCAAACCCTGTAACATATGTGTCACGCTAGAATGTGAACTTAACCCTTCAGGTAATGGGTATCCGCTCAATATGCAGATGGGTTACATCAAGAAAGGTGACCCTTCCAGTGATGTAAAGACAGATGAACATGGCGTGATGGGGCAAAACTAGAAAGGAGTACTTCAAAATTATAGGTAGATGGTTAATTATGGTAATAAGATATGGAAAATTCTAAGAAGGTAGATAATACAAATTTTGGTGTGTGACTGGCTTGGTGACCTGGAGGAGGGTTGAAGTGCAGGATGTGGGGGACGGTTGAAATGCAGGTTGAAGTGTTTGAGCAGTTCATGGCTACTTCCTAGATGTTATTTACTAGGATGGGGAAACCAGATGACTGAGTAGATTACAAAGAGTCAGAAAAGAGGCAGAAAAAGAATTAAAATGATGCTCTCAGTTTGAGATCTATAAGATTTGAGGCATCTAAGGGGCTTGGAAGAAAGATCTGGATAAATACATTTGGAGTATGAGTAGATGACCTACATGAGGAAAATTACATAGTGATAAGAAAATAAATATTTATAAGATAGACTAAATGGGTAGAATTAAGCAAAACAAATCTATGCAGACTGTTGAAATTTTGAAAATGAAATTAAAGGAGAGAGAAAAACGTGGGATTAAGTTTCTAAGTTATACATTTCCAAATTTGTTCCAAGAATATAATATTATTGATATAGGTAAATATTTCTGAAATATTATTGCAATAGGCATCTTTGAATTGAATGAAAACATTTAATTCTACAACAACAAGATTCTGTAAAACAACCTTTATAAAAACCTTGAAATTTTTAATTGTGCAAGAGAAATGCTTACCTACAGAATTACGAGGCATTTTTAAGTACTACTATAAAGTGAGATAGAAATGTGAAACCCTGCTTTAAAATTCACATGCTTTTCTTATGTTCCTGTAAACAATATAATACTAACTCGAATTGCCTATTTACACCATATAGGATGGCAGTTTAAAATTGGAGAAAAGATCTCACATAAAGAAAATTAAGCAATAATTATTCAAGTTGAAGATTTAATAGTTTTTATATATAACTATGATTGTCAAGCAGGATTCAGTATTCACAGGTGAAGAAACTGAAAAATTCAAGTCAACAGGATTCCTGAGTTTTAGAAATAAACAAATGTATGTGCAAGGTTTAATAATTATGAAGACTAAAGTTAATAAGGCTTCCTGGAAATAATATAAAATATCTCCACTGTAAGAGATATATTTAAAAGTAAAAAGTGGAGGGAGCGGAGCAAGATGGCCAAATAGGAACAGTTCCAGTCTCCAGCTCCCAGCGCGAGCGACACAGAAGACAGGTGATTTCTGCATTTTCAACTGAGGTACTGGGTTCATCTTACTAGGGACTGCCAGACAATCGGTGCTGGTCAGCTGCTGCAGCCCGACCAGGGAGAGCTGAAGCAGGGCGCGGCATCGCCCCACCTGGGAAGCGCAAGGGGGAAGGGAATCCATTTTCCTAGCAAGGGGAACTGAGACACACAACACCTGGAAAATCAGGTAACTCCCACCCCAATACTGCGCTTTACCAAGGGTCTTAGAAAACGGGCACACCAGCACACTATATCCCACTCCTGGCCGAGAGGTCCCATGCCCACGGAGCCTCCCTCATTGCTAGCACAGCAGTCTGCGATCTAACTGCAGGCAGCAGCCAGGCTGGGGAGGGGCACTGCCATTGCTGAGGCTTAAGTAGGTAAACAAAGCCCCTGGGAAGCTCCAACTGGGTGGAGCTCACAGCAGTTCAAGGAGCCTGCCTGTCTCTGTAGACTCCACCTCTGGGGACAGGACACAGCTAAATAGCAACAACAACAAAAACAGCAGAAACCTCTGCAGATGCAAATGACTCTGTCTGACAGCTTTAAAGAGAGCAGTGGATTTCCCAACACAGAGGATGAGATCTGAGAATGGACAGACTGCCTGCTCAAGTGGGTCCCTGACCCCTGAGTAGCCTAACTGGGAGACATCCCCACTAGGGGCAGACCAACACCCCACACCTCACACGGTGGAGTACACCCCTGAGAGGAAGCTTCCATAGCAAGAATCAGACAGGTACACTCGCTGTTCAGCACTATTCTATCTTCTGCAGCCTCTGCTGCTGATACCCAGGCAAACAGGGTCTGGAGTGGACCTCAAGCAATCTCCAACAGACCTACAGCTGAGGGTCCTGACTGTTAGAAGGAAAACTAACAAACAGAAAGGACACCCACACCAAAACCGCATCAGTACGTCACCATCATCAAAGACCAGAGGCAGATAAAACCACAAAGATGGGGAAAAAGCAGGGCAGAAAACCTGGAAATTCAAAAAATAAGAGCGTATCTTCCCCTGCAAAGGAACGCAGCTCATCGCCAGCAATGGATCAAAGCTGGACAGAGAATGACTTTGATGAGATGAGAGAAGGCAGCTCCAGTCCATCAAACTTCTCAGAGCTAAAGGAGGAATTACGTACCCAGCACAAATAAACTAAAAATCTTGAAAAATGAGTGTAAGAATTGATAACTAGAATAATTAATGCAGAGAAGGCCATAAACGAACTGACAGAGATAAAAACCATGACACGAGAAATACGTGACAAATGCACAAGCTTTAGTAACCGACTCGATCAACTGGAAGAAAGAGTATCAGCAATTAAGGATCAAATGAATGAAATGAAGCGAGAAGGGAAATCTAAAGAAAAAAGAAGAAAAAGAAATGAACAAAGCCTGCAAGAAGTATGGGATTATGTAAAAAGACCAAATCTACGTCTGATTGGGGTGCCTGAAAGTGAGGGGGAAAATGGAACCAAGTTGGAAAACACTCTTCAGGATATCATCCAGGAGAACTTCCCCAACCTAGTAGGGCAGGCGAACATTCAAATTCAGGAAATACAGAAAACACCACAAAGATACTCCTCGAGAAGAGCAACTCCAAGACACATAATTGCTAGATTCATTAAAGTTGAAATGAAGGAAAAAATCTTAAGGGCATCCAGAGAGAAAGGTCGGGTTACCCACGAAGGGAAGCCCATCAGACTTACAGCAGATCTCTCAGCAGAAACTCTACAAGCCAGAAGAGAGTGGGGGCCAATATTCAACATTCTTAAAGAAAAGAATTTTAAACCCAGAATTGCATATCCAGCCAAACTAAGTTTCATAAGTGAAGGAGAAATAAAATCCTTTACAGATAAGCAAATGCTTAGAGATTTTGTCACCACCAGGCCTGCCTTACAAGAGACCCTGAAGGAAGCACTAAACATGGAAAGGAACAACTGGTACCAGCCATTGCAAAAACATGCCAAAATGTAAAGAACATTGAGGCTAGGAAGAAACTGCATCAACTAACGAGCAAAATAACCAGTTAATATCATAATGGCAGGCTCAAGTTCACACATAACAATATTAACCTTAAATGTAAATGGACTAAATACTCCAATTAAAAGACACAGACTGGCAAACTGGATAAATACATCAGTTTGCTGTATTCAGGAGACCCATCTCACATGCAGAGACATACATAGGCTCAAAATAAAGGGATGGAGGAAGATCTACCAAGCAAATGGAGAACAAAAAAAAAGCAGGGGTTGCAATACTGGTCTCTGATAAAACAGACTTTAAACCATCAAAGATCAAAAGAGACAAAGAAGGCCATTACATAATGGTAAAGGGATCAATTAAACAGGAAGAGCTAAGCTAACTATCCTAAATATATATGCACCCAATACAGGAGCACCCAGATTCATAAAGCAAGTCCTTAGAGACTAACAAAGAGACTTAGACTCCCATACAATAATAATGGGAGACTTCAACACCCCACTGTCAACATTAGACAGATCAATGAGACAGAAAGTTAACAAGGATATCCAGGAATTGAACTCATCTCTGCAGCAAGCAGACCTAATAGACATCTGCAGAACTCTCCACCCCAAATCAACAGAATATACATTCTTCTCAGCACCACATCACACTTATTCCAAAATAGACCACATAATTGGAAGTAAAGCACTCCTCAGCAAATGTACAAGAACAGAAATTATAACAAACTGTCTCTCAGACCACAGTGCAATCAAACTAGAACACGGGACTAAGAAACTCAATCAAAGCCACTCAACTACATGGAAACTGAATAACCTGCTCCTGAAGACTACTGGGTACATAACGAAATGAAGGCAGAAATAAAGATGTTCTTTGAAACCAATGAGAATAAAGATACAACATACCAGAATCTCTGGGACACATTTAAAGCAGTGTGTAGAGGGAATTTTATAGCACTAAATGCCCACAAGAGAAAGCTGGAAAGATCTAAAATTGACACTGTAACATCACAATTAAAAGAACTAGAGAAGCAAGAGAAAACACATTCAAAAGCTAGCAGAAGGCAAGAAATAACTAAGATTAGAGCAGAACTCAAGGAGATAGAGACACAAAAAACCCTCCAAAATATCAATGAATCC